CATTCGCAAAAAGGATCGTGAGGGCACCATCTCCAATCCTAGAACATTAATACAAATCAACAAACATGCACAAACACACTCGCTCAAATGGACAATCACAAACGTGTAGAAAAACCTGCGCAAAAGTGCATTCGCAACAACGTTCTTAAAAACACGGAGTACAACACTAGGACTTTAATGCGCATAACCAAACAACAGCAAAAACACAAGATACAAAAGATACAGTGGAGTGTAGAAATAACACTCAACGTTTACGTTTACGTGGATTTTTTGATGGACTAATTTATATTTCTGTTTTAATTGGTGGATTTAGTATTCCATAGGTACAAATTGATAATTAGGTGTCCATGAAGCAAAAATGATCAAAGAGTAAGAAAAGAGTTGCAATTAGGAAAATAAAATCAAAATAGAAGAGAGGATCCCTCAACATCTTCGGTAGTGTCCACGAAGTCGAGCATAACTTTCTCATCCGGACTCCAAATCGACTGGTTCCGGCGGCATTAGAAAGCTATTTCAGGTGGCTACAATTCCTGTCTAATGTCAAATTTCCAAATTCGGACTCGAACATGGTCAAAATTGGATTCCAACAGCGATCATGAAAATACCCGCTACAGTTCGAGGACACGAATGCGCATCAAGAAACGTGCACAAAAACACTCGCTACAAAGGATACGCACATAAGTAAAAGTACAAAATCATGCACAAAACTACTCACGCAAAACAGCATTCGCAAAAAGGATCATGAAAACACAAACTACAATCCTAGGACTTTAATACAAATCAACAAACATGCACAAACACACTCGCTCAAATGGACAAGCACAAACGTGTAGAAAAACATGCGCAAAAGTGCATTCGCAACAACGTTCTTAAAAACACGGAGTACAACACTAGGACTTTAATGCGCATAACCAAACAACAGCAAAAACACAAGATACAAAAGATACAGTGGAGTGTAGAAATAACACTCAACGTTTACGTTTACGTGGATTTTTTGATGGACTAATTTATATTTCTGTTTTAATTGGTGGATTTAGTATTCCATAGGTACAAATTGATAATTAGGTGTCCATGAAGCAAAAATGATCAAAGAGTAAGAAAAGACTTGCAATTAGGAAAATAAAATCAAAATAGAAGAGAGGATCCCTCAACATCTTCGGTAGTGTCCACGAAGTCGAGCATAACTTTCTCATCCGGACTCCAAATCGACTGGTTCCGGCGGCATTAGAAAGCTATTTCAGCTGGCTACAATTCCTGTCTAATGTAAAATTTCCAAATTCGGACTCGAACATGGTCAAAATTGGATTCCAACAGCGATCATGAAAATACCCGCTACAGTTCGAGGACACGAATGCGCATCAAGAAACGTGCACAAAAACACTCGCTACAAAGGATACGCACATAAGTAAAAGTACAAAATCATGCACAAAACTACTCACGCAAAACAGCATTCGCAAAAAGGATCATGAAAACACAAACTACAATCCTAGGACTTTAATACAAATCAACAAACATGCACAAACACACTCGCTCAAATGGACAATCACAAACGTGTAGAAAAACCTGCGCAAAAGTGCATTCGCAACAACGTTCTTAAAAACACGGAGTACAACACTAGGACTTTAATGCGCATAACCAAACAACAGCAAAAACACAAGATACAAAAGATACAGTGGAGTGTAGAAATAACACTCACTACTAGAAAAACGCACATTAGCTACGGACGAATTCGTTGCAAATTAACACAAATCCGTCGCTAAATGTTGATTAGCAATGGACTAAGCCCGTCTCCAATTCCGTCGCTAAAAGCCGCGTCGCTAAAATTTAGCTACGACAAATGAAAATCCGTAGCTAATTGTTAGCGACAGAATAATCTATGGCTAAATCCGTCGCTATTATAGCAATAGAATGAAACCTCTCTAAATCCATCGCTATCATAGCAATAAACCAATTTGTTGCCAAATTTGTCACTAATTTTAGATAGGCATGTAGTCGTAGCTAAATCCGTTGCAAAAATTTCATTGAATTTAAAAAAAATAATATATATATATATATATATATATATATATATATATATATATATATATATATATATATACCAATTAATTAGACACACACACACACTACACGTATCAATGCCATAATTTAATACCTATTAATATGTTATATACCAATAAAAGTATCATACATACAAAATCAGTGCACAATATGATAAACTTGAATTACAAATTCTAATAGTAGTACTCTTCCAAAAGCATGCTAGTCAATCTTATATTCAGTACAATGTTCTCTCACGAGATCCTCGTGCTTGGTCTTCATGCTTCACTTGAATCCCATCCTAAAATCTAGCTTGCTATATCATAAAAGAAAGACAGCATACATGTAATTAGCCAAACAGTGACTTTAGCTAAGAAGACAACTTAGATGCTAATGACTACTTAGGTATAATATTTAGCTTCAAATGTAGACATGCTGTTGAAAATTTATATTAACAGGAGGAGAAAAAAATGGCAGAGAAAAGATAAAACAAAATTGAGAAGTGAGAATAGCAAACTTAACTTGAATCTCCATTCAAACTTTCAGCCAAGAAAAAGAATTCATCCCATTAACGTTTAAAGATCATGCTACTGAAATAGCTGACATCTAGCAAAATAGAAGAAAATTTATGAGATATTAGCTAGATATTAGAGAAATAGATAATATGAAATTAAAAGAAAAAAAGATTGATAGAGCTTATACTTGAGAAAATCAAGCAATCTGTAAGAGTAAAATCAATTCACCGTGTGTGATTTTAACATATGGTAGGATCTTTGGCCACTTGTGCTGACTGGAAACACAGAAGAACCAATAAGCAAAACTAATTTGATATGACCAAAATAAAAGGTAGAGTAATTATATAACAAGATTTAAAACTTCAATAAGGAGCATATTTTCTCCACATAGTAAACATTTCCAGCATATGCAAATGTCCAAAAGTAAACCACATCACCAATTAGTTTCAAGCACATGAGAACCTGTGACATTCTTATGAAAAATTAAATGAAGAAAAAGTACATGATTTCTACAATATTACTATATTAATAGCATGTTAATAGTAAAAATAACAAAATATTGCAATTTTATTTATTTTCTATTGTGTGGCTCGAGAAACGCATTTATCTACTTGATAAATAGCATTACCTTGTTCTACAGAGTGATAAACTCCCAATCATCAATTTATTTGCTTCTCCAGATTGGTGGAATTTGTGTCTTGCCAATTCTCTGTGATTGGAAACGATAATGTCTACCATCAATACGAACAATTCTTAACAACTTTGAATATTTGACAGCAGTTTCAATATTGAATTAGAACAATTATTAAAGGCTATTGAAGAACATACCACATGAAACAGAGAGACTAATTTGCGAGAAGGATGAACCGACGAAACTGCAAGATTATGAACTTTCAGTAAAAGATCGAAAAAGCCATTACTTAATAGTAAATTAAGTTGCAGATATAGAGTACCTTAAACCATATGGAGGAAATTAAACCTGTAAAAAATTCTTAGTTCTTTTATGCATATAAAAGATACATAAAACAACCTAAGGCAAAAAAAATAAAATTAAACATATATATATTACAAACAAATAAACCTTCTGTTCTCTCAAATCCAAGTGTACTGAATTGCTGCTTTGTTCTCCTCGTTTTGACCTCTCGAAATATCTCTGGGTAAACAACCCTCCAATAGAATCTAGTTATTTCTCCCAAGTCACAATACATCAAAGAAATGCAATTACATACACATTTAAATCAGATCTTCTTCCCCTTTCTAAACACACTTCACAAACATCTAAAAATTGGAACGAAGGAAGAAATAAAGAGCTTACAATAGTAGATGTTGCCGTTGCTCTCATTCGATTAGGGTTCTCTACAACTCTGACAAATTTTTGGGCCGGCAATCGGAGGGGCTTTTTTCCAAAGGCAGCAATGAGAAAAATTTCAATCGAAGTTCTCTAATTTGTTGATACAGGGTAACTAGGTTTGGATGAAGAGAGAGAAATGGGTTTGGGGTTTGCTCGTCTAGGGCAAAAAGGTAGAAGGAAAGATTTTGAAGTTGACGGAAATGAAAAAATGGAAAAGGGAGGAGTCTTTTTAATACTTCTATTTTCTTTAAATTACACATATCTAATTTTATATTTAGAAGATTTTCTTACTTTCTATTACTATTATTTTATTTAAAACTCAACTATGAAAATTAATTACAACGTAATAGACCTAAGGATATTTGTTACGCTAATGTAATCAATAATTAATTTAATTTAACAAACTCAGAAATAAATAATTGTTGAAAAAATTAATCGGTGATATAATATACAAAGTATGAATTCATATCAATGGATTTGTTGTCCGTCGAAACATTGTCTCTATTATTTTAGAAACAAATTTGTTATCTCTCGCTAATTTCCGTTACTAAGATTTGTTTTAGCCACGAACCCACATCTGTCGCTACACCCATTGCTAAATATTTGACTTAGAAACGAATATTCATCCGTCGCTAATATTCGTTGCGAAGGGACGATTATGTGTTCCGTTGCTAATTTTATCACTATATATTTAGTTTAGCAACAGAAAGGCAATCCGTCGCTATTGTCCGTCACTAATACGCAGTTTTCTAGTAGTGACTCAACGTTTACGTTTACGTGGATTTTTTGATGGACTAATTTATATTTCTGTTTTAATTGGTGGATTTAGTATTCCATAGGTACAAATTGATAATTAGGTGTCCATGAAGCAAAAATGATCAAAGAGTAAGAAAAGAGTTGCAATTAGGAAAATAAAATCAAAATAGAAGAGAGGATCCCTCAACATCTTCGGTAGTGTCCACGAAGTCGAGCATAACTTTCTCATCCGGACTCCAAATCGACTGGTTCCGGCGGCATTAGAAAGCTATTTCAGGTGGCTACAATTCCTGTCTAATGTCAAATTTCCAAATTCGGACTCGAACATGGTCAAAATTGGATTCCAACAGCGATCATGAAAATACCCGCTACAGTTCGAGGACACGAATGCGCATCAAGAAACGTGCACAAAAACACTCGCTACAAAGGATACGCTCATAAGTAAAAGTACAAAATCATGCACAAAACTACTCACGCTAAACAGCATTCGCAAAAAGGATCATGAAAACACAAACTACAATCCTCGGACTTTAATACAAATCAACAAACATGCACAAACACACTCGCTCAAATGGACAAGCACAAACGTGTAGAAAAACATGCGCAAAAGTGCATTCGCAACAACGTTCTTAAAAACACGGAGTACAACACTAGGACTTTAATGCGCATAACCAAACAACAGCAAAATCACAAGATACAAAAGATACAGTGGAGTGTAGAAATAACACTCAACGTTTACGTTTACGTGGATTTTTTGATGGACTAATTTATATTTCTGTTTTAATTGGTGGATTTAGTATTCCATAGGTACAAATTGATAATTAGGTGTCCATGAAGCAAAAATGATCAAAGAGTAAGAAAAGAGTTGCAATTAGGAAAATAAAATCAAAATAGAAGAGAGGATCCCTCAACATCTTCGGTAGTGTCCACGAAGTCGAGCATAACTTTCTCATCCGGACTCCAAATCGACTGGTTCCGGCGGCATTAGAAAGCTATTTCAGGTGGCTACAATTCCTGTCTAATGTCAAATTTCCAAATTCGGACTCGAACATGGTCAAAATTGGATTCCAACAGCGATCATGAAAATACCCGCTACAGTTCGAGGACACGAATGCGCATCAAGAAACGTGCACAAAAACACTCGCTACAAAGGATACGCACATAAGTAAAAGTACAAAATCATGCACAAAACTACTCACGCAAAACAGCATTCGCAAAAAGGATCATGAAAACACAAACTACAATCCTAGGACTTTAATACAAATCAACAAACATGCACAAACACTCTCGCTCAAATGGACAAGCACAAACGTGTAGAAAAACGTGCGCAAAAGTGCATTCGCAACAACGTTCTTAAAAACACGGAGTACAACACTAGGACTTTAATGCGCATAACCAAACAACAGCAAAAACACAAGATACAAAAGATACAGTGGAGTGTAGAAATAACACTCAACGTTTACGTTTACGTGGATTTTTTGATGGACTAATTTATATTTCTGTTTTAATTGGTGGATTTAGTATTCCATAGGTACAAATTGATAATTAGGTGTCCATGAAGCAAAAATGATCAAAGAGTAAGAAAAGAGTTGCAATTAGGAAAATAAAATCAAAATAGAAGAGAGGATCCCTCAACATCTTCGGTAGTGTCCACGAAGTCGAGCATAACTTTCTCATCCGGACTCCAAATCGACTGGTTCCGGCGGCATTAGAAAGCTATTTCAGGTGGCTACAATTCCTGTCTAATGTAAAATTTCCAAATTCGGACTCGAACATGGTCAAAATTGGATTCCAACAGCGATCATGAAAATACCCGCTACAGTTCGAGGACACGAATGCGCATCAAGAAACGTGCACAAAAACACTCGCTACAAAGGATACGCACATAAGTAAAAGTACAAAATCATGCACAAAACTACTCACGCAAAACAGCATTCGCAAAAAGGATCATGAAAACACAAACTACAATCCTAGGACTTTAATACAAATCAACAAACATGCACAAACACACTCGCTCAAATGGACAAGCACAAACGTGTAGAAAAACATGCGCAAAAGTGCATTCGCAACAACGTTCTTAAAAACACGGAGTACAACACTAGGACTTTAATGCGCATAACCAAACAACAGCAAAATCACAAGATACAAAAGATACAGTGGAGTGTAGAAATAACACTCAACGTTTACGTTTACGTGGATTTTTTGATGGACTAATTTATATTTCTGTTTTAATTGGTGGATTTAGTATTCCATAGGTACAAATTGATAATTAGGTGTCCATGAAGCAAAAATGATCAAAGAGTAAGAAAAGACTTGCAATTAGGAAAATAAAATCAAAATAGAAGAGAGGATCCCTCAACATCTTCGGTAGTGTCCACGAAGTCGAGCATAACTTTCTCATCCGGACTCCAAATCGACTGGTTCCGGCGGCATTAGAAAGCTATTTCAGGTGGCTACAATTCCTGTCTAATGTCAAATTTCCAAATTCGGACTCGAACATGGTCAAAATTGGATTCCAACAGCGATCATGAAAATACCCGCTACAGTTCGAGGACACGAATGCGCATCAAGAAACGTGCACAAAAACACTCGCTACAAAGGATACGCACATAAGTAAAAGTACAAAATCATGCACAAAACTACTCACGCAAAACAGCATTCGCAAAAAGGATCATGAAAACACAAACTACAATCCTAGGACTTTAATACAAATCAACAAACATGCACAAACACACTCGCTCAAATGGACAATCACAAACGTGTAGAAAAACCTGCGCAAAAGTGCATTCGCAACAACGTTCTTAAAAACACGGAGTACAACACTAGGACTTTAATGCGCATAACCAAACAACAGCAAAATCACAAGATACAAAAGATACAGTGGAGTGTAGAAATAACACTCAACGTGTACGTTTACGT